GAGGATGAGGCACGTAGTGCCGAATCGTTATCTATTATGTTATCTTAGAATGAGGCACGTAGTGCCGAATTGTTATCTATTATATTACCTGAGAATGAGGCACGCAGTGCCGAATTGTTATCCCTACCTGGTGACCCACCAAAGCATAATTTTTTATAATATATATCTGTAATAATTTTACCTTGGTGTCCCACTTTTTTACTCAAATAATACTTATCTGGTGACCCATCAAAGCACAATTTTATATATTATATACGCACTCTATTTCAGAATGCTAGCATTTTATTTGAAATAGTACTCACACCGAAAAAACTTTGGTGGCCCAAAAAATATATTGCATTTGACCCATCAAAGCGCAATAGTATAGCCTTTTTATAATAATTTTACTTTGGTGGCCCAAAAAATTTCTGTATAAGTAGTCTCTATTAATACTCGAAGCATATTATCATATAAATGCATGTTTACCGCGAGATCCAGAGTCTTACACTCATATGACACCATTATTTTTCATACCACGATTACTTAAACCCATCACTTACCCGAAACTGTATCTTGATCAAAATTGTGCAACACAAAAATGGTCATCAATTAATTTACTTTACCTTACCCATAATGGAAGTACTTACCCAGAACTTTATTTCGATCAAAATCCCACGGCACAAAAACCCTCTTGTATGATCCAAGTGTCAAAGTATTAATTTTTTATTTGAATTTTTCTGCATACTCATTGTAAGAGGCGACAAAAACCCTTTACCCGGATATATAACTAGCTGAATGTAACAATTTCTCTCCACCAGAGATTATTACTTAACTAGATTGTATTATCTTGAACAACAGTTACGCATATTCGATAAAGGCTAAAGAGTAGGTTTTTAATTCTCTTTTGTATGGAGTGGTAGGGACCTTCATTTTAGCCTCGAAGTTTCGTTTATATTCTAGGAAATCGATTTCATTCATGCTTTCGCGCTCTTTTTTCCAGTAATTTTGGTTATCCCGCAATTCAAAGGCAATCTTAGTTCGCAATTGTTCTAACCTTTCCTGAGACATTTGGAATTTTTCTTGTAAATAAAAGATAAGAGTATCGATATCAGATTCATTTTTGATGAGATATTCTGAAGATAAAGAAATTGCCGGAGGCGGACACAAAGTGGCTAAGGATTCAGGTAACTCTTTCTTGACTTCAACAATGTTTGAGAATTGCTTTGAATTATTTGATTGATTTCATGTTAATATTATAGAAGGCAATTGTGGCAAATTTGTCACGGATTTCTCAACTTTATTAATGCAAGAATTCTCTTCACAAATCTCATTACTAGATGATACAGGGCGTTGAAACTTTGCTTTCTCCGAAATGGTGATATCAGTAGTAACGGATATAGAATCGAAAAGTTCTTGAGTTTCATTGACCGATTCAGGTTTATATGGTGGAAGAATTGGACCTATAGGGAAATATTTAGAATTATTCACCTTTATAGCTGTTATTTCTTCTTGAGTTTCAAAACCAGCTCCACCGTATGGTTTGCGATGAATCCAATAAGTGCTTTTCCATACTCTTTGATCTTTCAGTCCTTCTTTTCTTCGTCCACTCCTGATAGTATAACCGCACCAATTACCTAGTATTGCATTGATAAATTTTATTGTAGCATTAAGATCAGGTATTCCTTTAGCTCTGGTTTTAAAGTTAAAGAGCAATAATGCATCTTCTCGAATTTCAACGATTTTTTCCCGTGATTGCTCAAAAGTCTTAGCTACATCATCACCAGAAAGAATATTCATATCATCTATATCTCTAAAACCTATCGATTGGATAAGATTATGTACCGCCTCCCATTGTTTTACTGAATAAAATTTATGTAAATCGACCGAGGACGGATCCATAGATTCATGTGAATCTTCCCACTGCATTTCTTCTTTGATTTATAGATTTTCTATGGAATTTGACGCATTGAAACCTTGTCTTCGATAATACGCCAGCCTCCTAAAATGTTGTAAAGGTTCAGGATTATTATATCTTTTCACGAAATCTATATCACAAAGTTTGATCCAATCATCATTATTCATACCCCAGTTTCGAATATCATCCTTACCTCCAATATCGCCTGAAGCATATGTTCTCCATAAATAATGCCGTTGCAGGGTCATGTTATCAGCAAAAGAACGTTCAGGATTTAGCTTAAGCATTTCAGCTTCATTAGGATTGATATCTGGAGCATTGACTATTAATTCTGCATCAGAACTTTTGATCCTTTCTTCAGTATTCTTAATAGTATGAAATACTTCTGTACGAGAAGCTTTGGCTAATTTGGTATCTTCTACTGTGATTAATTCTAGCGATGCTCCAGTACTAGCAATCAAACTACAAAGAATTTCCGGAAAATATTTGGCAGATAAGCGTCTCTGATATTCGACCTCAATATAGGTCTCTACTGCCAGAGATGAATCAAGTATATAACAGTCAGCAATTTTGTTCCATTCACGGCGCCCCTTTATTGCAGTTGGTAAATCTCCAGGTCTTAAGGCCGAAAGTTCTGCACGAATAAGGTCACGATTTGGTTCTTTAAAAATCTCAGAATGTGTTTTACTATTGTAAAGAGAAACAATACGATACGGGCAATCACGAGTTCGATAAAGCATCTGAGTAAATGCTTCAGCGTGTACTCCTGTATTAATATTACTAATTGCTATAACTGCATCAAAATAGTTAGGAATTTCGAACGAGATGCCTGACTCCACAGTACTTGTATAGATTACACAATCAAGGCCACTCCAGGTAGCATTAATATCAGCAAAGTCATCCTGGCGTTGTTTTTCATCCATTTGACTAAAATAAACTCGTGATAAAACGCATGAACCGTCTGGTTTTTGCAACTTAGATGCTTGATTAGCTATTGCCCGAGCCTTTTTGCAGGAGGTCATTGAAAAGACAACACGCTTACCTTCTTTAAGCATCTCAAGACCTTTACGTATAGCTTCTGAACCTTTATTTGAATCATAAAGGATTTTTACAGTCTCACTTTTACGTGGCTGGTATTTATTATCAAAAACTCTAATATTTTCACCCTGATATTGCTTTAAGAAGGTTAGTGTACTTTGATTTGCAAAGGCGTCCATGGCAACCACGTGAATAGCTGACTTTAACAAATCTCGCATGGCATTTTCAGATTCTCGTGCATGGATTCCACTTGCCATTTGTCGCATAATACCATTCGCTTCATCTAAAATAACTACATGAGAACGACCCCCATGGAAATTAAGACGATGTGTACTTTCGACCTGAACAATAATAACATCCCAGTCACGTATAGCTAAATTGCCTTCATTTTCCTGATAATGGCACACACGAAGCCCGGATTTCTGTAATACTTCGATTTTACTTTTAGTTTCATTACTAAGAGTTTTACGATATGAAACCCAGTTAAAACAAGGTAAATCCACTCCACTTTTAGCTAAAGAATCGAGGATTTCTCTTAATGTTTTTGTTTTGCCACTAGCAACAGGTGAGCGAATAAGAGTTGTAGTGAGTTCCTCGCTTAAGAAATCAGGGTAAGCTTCTGGTGCATCTTTCATTTCCTTTACATTAATGATTTTTCCAGATAATTCTACAAGTGGGCGTGGAGTTGATACAGCCTTGGGTAATCTTTCAATTAATCCCCACTTAGGCTTTTCTTTCGATTCGACTTTATCTGATATCTTTTCAAAGCCTAATCCCTTATGATCTGGCTTATATTGTTTTTGCCGATAGCAATTGAGTATAAAATAACCATTTTTTCGAATAAATCCGTAGAGTTGGTCTTTTTCATGTTTAACGTCACATATAGGACACTCTTTAGCGGATTGTGCTTGAAAGTTGATGAATCCCTTCTCGATTCTTCCAATCTGGAGCCACCCATATTTTGCAATAACTAAATTAGCTCCTTTAACCAAAGCATCATCGTCATCAATAGGCTTAAATTCCTCTTCTGCTGGCTTTTCTTCTGAAAAGGTTCGTGGAAGGATTTCAGAATAATTCTCTTTAGGCTGAACCAGATAATCCTCTAGCTTTTGAAATCCATTTTTTATGGAAGAGATAGCAGGTCTTTTTATGCGTCCCTCTTTTGCTGATCCAAGGAGTCAAAGATTGAAATGTGTTTTGGGAAGGCCAATATCAATAAATTTCGAATAAGGTTCCCCAACTAATTCCATAACTTTTTCTGTAAAACCCTTAAGTTCTCTATAATCCACGAATTGGGCCCGAGGATAAATAATATGCCAACTACATTTCTCGGTATTTGATGAACTTGCTAAGGCAAAAGAATTTAAGAAAGGCATACATTCTGGAATAAGGCTTAATGCATCTGCACAAGCGACTAAAATTCGAGATATCAAATCTTCACGGGTAATTTTTTCACTATCTAGAGAAGGAAGTTTAGGATCGGAAGGATCTGGTTTTTGCCTTGCATCAATATCGATAATTAAGCGGAGGGGTTGGTTCCCATCGATACATTCATGGGTATCAGGTATTCTATAAACTTTGCTAGGATGATCGATCACTGTATAACCATTTCCTGCTGTCCGAATTATATATTGAGAGTGAATTTCTTCAGGTCGATATGCATCTAAAAGTGCAGTATCATTTTTATTAGTATGACCATGACCCTTTAGGGTCGCCCCTTCGGGCCTGGATGCAAGCCAGTATTTATAAAATGTATGTTCTCTATGACCAGGTTTATAATCAAGATCTGTTAAACCTATGAAGAACCTTTTTGCTTCATTATATTCAGCTAACTTTTGATTTAAGCACTGTTGTTGTAATGATTCACGAAGATATTTTTTTGCTTCACTAGACAAACTCATGTATTGATTTGTATATATGCGTTGTTTCTATATGCGTGTTGTTTGATCTGACAAAAAGTATATGTAGTATTATTTTGAAACTATATTATCGATAGATAAATCTTTAAAATAAAATTAATTATTCCAAAAATTTGATTGAAGTTTATTATATATACTTATGATGAAATTATACAATTGCTCACATATTTGTAGAACTGGAGAAATCTGTGGTCGAAATAGTAAATCAGAAAAATGTTATATCCATCGTAAATCTCCAGTATATACTCCTTGTAGAGATTGTGGCGAGTCAAATAGGTCTAAATATAATGCATGCAATGATCATGTAGGCAAATATAAAAGTAGAGAGAATTACAACAGAAAAAAGCAGGATAAATTGTGTATACAAATTGCTATGATTGAGAATCATATACCCGACTTACCCGATTCTAGACATGAAGTATAATCATCTGCTTGGCATATACCGATTATTTTTTCCAAAACATCTTTAAGTAAAGCTATATCCTCTTTGATCCCATTGATATTTTTAGTGATTTTATTACGTAAAGCTATGGATTCCAAGGCTTTATTTCGGGAGAAATGACACTTTGTGTCTGATCGATATCGTGTTTTATCTGCATCCATTTCTCAATAGAATTACATTAATCGCCACCCATTCAATTTTTGGGTATATATACTGACCTGGGATAATTAATTTCGATTTGAAAAAATATATTCCATAGTTATAGTCCGCGCAAATATCCCAATCGACAATGTCAAAAGTTGCAACAAATTTCGTAAATCAGTATAACTTAACTCCTCAGATGAGCATAGCTGAACTAGGTAATTATTCTGAAGAATTGGTTAAAAATTTGAAAGATGCAAAGGCCCGTGATCATGCACGAAATCGGATCCAGAAATTAGGATTTAGTAAAGATCAAACGTATGCTTTAATTCCTGTCCAAACTTCTGGAAGACGTGTTACAGGTAGGGAATCAGTTAAAAAACTTGCTTTGTATATTAAGGAGAATGAAGGTAATCTTGAAGCCGAAGAAATAAATGAATTGGCTCGTAATTTAGCAAAAACGGGCCCTACTGAAATAGCCCAATCTTCACTTCTTAAATTGCTTCGAAAAGAATTACGCCAACTCAATGCCAATTACATTACATTAGAAGCAATATATGACCCAGAGATTAGTCGTGCATCAAATAAAGAACAAGAGAGAAGACAAGAGCTTCGTGAAGATGAGGGAATTGATTGTCCTGAATTCTTTACTCTAGAAAAAGTGCAGAGGCAACTTCAAAAATGTGACACAGCTAACTCCCCCACAATATGAAATTTAATCGATATAATGATAATGCTATGTATGAGGCCAGCAGATGTGAGAAATCTTCATATAGAGTAGTATAATTCAAATAATGCGGAATGGTATGATCCTAAATATTCTTGGTACTGCTATGCCAAAAATAAAAATAACGAGCCTAGGCCATTTGTATCGATGGAAAAAGACCCACTACGAGCTATTGAGTTACTTACTTGGATTCAAAAGTCAATTCCGAAGAGATTTCCATTTCTAGTAAAGGATGAAGATGGTGATGTTAATGTCCATCCGATTAACAACTTTTTAATCCCCCATGGCATTAGTTCATCAAATTTAAGAAAAATAGGTTCCGAACATGCTATTATAATACATGGAGGTAAGACTCGCTCTAAATGTAACCATCTCTGTAAATTAGCATTAAGACACAAAATAAATCGAGATGCATCAGATCATTACAGTATAATGAATAACAGACCGAATACTCCACAACCTATGATTAACAAGGATATGATGAAGTATCAGATATCATTGACCTATATGAAGAAAATTCTGATGATGATAATTAATTACTCTTCTTTGCTTTAACAGCATGTATACACATCCCACCATTAGACAATTCAGAGTCAGACCCAGACCCAGATTCAGATGAAGATGAGGATGAGGATGAAGATGCTGTATCATTTAAAAATCTCTTTTTTCCCGACAATTTATTTCACTTTGTTCATTCATGGTCTGTTTATATATTCCAGAAAACAAATTATCACAGTGTCTATATTCTGGCTTCGAGTTTAAAGAATGAGAAGGCAGGGCCTTAGATAGTGTATGATTTCTTTGAGAAATATCCGGGTTTGTTATCGCAAGGTCCTCCATGAAATAAATCCCTCTTTTCAATCCAAAAATAATGAATCAAAGCAAGTGAAAGTTACTGATGTTTTCGTTACCAATGATCCTGAACTTGAATCTATACTGATATTGGGTCAGCCATGGTTCCAGGAAAATGCAATGAAAGTGGACTTCCCAAATAAAACTCTTACATTGCTTGATGGAACTAGTTGCGAGGTTATGTGCAATTGAGAATATCTGGAAAATGCATAGTTTATCCGCCTAAAAAAAAATATCCGAACATTAGTTGTTTTTTCCGATTAAAGATATACATTCTTGAGGATGACGCAACTAAATATTTTTGATTTACCAGAATTACTAGAACAGATCTTATATTTTTTAGAAATTGATCGATCCCTCTATCCTGCTTTATTTGTTAACCATATTTGGTATCACTGTGGTGCTCCTATTCTGTGGCATCGCGTAGCATGATGGAAGTTTGATTTTATTGGATATAAAATGTGACAAAATAAAATTTAGATTTTTACCGAAATTAGAAAT